TCAAGTAAAAAGTGCGACTCGTTTTCTACATATAGATGATCACAGAATTCGCACGTCCTATCGTTCAGAGGGGTACGGTTGTGCCTACCGGATTCTATATGTAAGGGATGGTCACTTATACGAAGTTTGCACATGGTTTTTCGATGTTCGAAGTTTGTAATGTTTAAATATGTTTCTCTTTCATAGTTCAGTTTAAATGTTTTATATGTTCTTAATTTGTTGCCTTGGTTTTCTCTTCGTCCTTCTGCTTGTAGTTCTGAGTAGAACTTTTGGATGTGGATATCTTTCAATCTCTGTTTTAGTTCTTTTAGATGGGAGGGTGTGTTTAAGTGACCGTTTAAATACAGGTAGGCAAAACCGGACTCCTCTAACAGTTTCTTTACATCAGATAACCAGCAGGGTATATTTCGGCGAACTAGCTCTTGTTGTATTATAGATGCGCTATTCGGCGATTCTGTAGTGTGTCTACTTTCGTTATTTTGTGTAGGCACGTAATGTTTTTCATAGCGCAGAGCCTTTATTCCCCTTGTGTGTTTAGTGGTATCTTCTAATCGTTCTGTGGAAGCTCCCAGCCATGCTTGCCGTCCTTTCCAATCTCGGGTAAAAAGCGGTTTACCATAGCCGAAAATTGGCTGAGATTTCCTGGGGAGATTACAGAGGTACCCCGCGCCGTCAGACGTGGGCGGAAGATTCATCGCCGCAATCAGCGCCATCTACAGACGAGAGTTCACCCGGAGCCGATCCTACCACTTCCCGGGGCAGCAGAAAGATGTGACACGTCTTCTCATAGATGTAATCAGCCACCGACGACACACTATCAACAACTTATTAAGGGAGATAGATCCGAGCGCGTCGGGAGGCAACTCAGGCGGTTTTGTACGGTACACGGCCCAGCCGAGGGAGAGATGTCCAATCCGTCAAGGAGCTTAACACTTGACAGCGATCTCGTCTACGTCCAACCGTTGCCGTGTGCATGTATCTGATGTAGCTAACAGGCTGGATGTACGCGTATTCTGTACGGCGTTAACACATTATTCCAGTCATGTAACCCGAGTGGTTATGTAAAATATACCCCGCTGAAGACTGTGGTGTCAGTCACTGGTCCTTCTGGACTTCAGTCAGGGATTCGGGGGCCGCAGAATTTCATCTGACGTGTAATTGTGGAGTTGATTGTGTTCGTGATAGAAGTAGAAATTGATGCAGAGGCGTGATGAATTGTCACGTGGAGATCGAGGCAGGGCCACCACTCCGTGAGCGGCGATCGTTAATTACCAGTCGCGCGACGTTTTAGTGCCTCCCCGGAAGGGCTCCAAACGGCGGCCAACCCAGAGAATAAGAGGATGGAAGAGGGCAGGCGGCAATTGTCAGCTAGAGCCTCGGGCATCTCGTAAAGAGATCATAAGGAGGATCGTAGGGCGCGGCTTGTATAAGAATGGAAAACGATTTTGGAGCTGGCCTAGCGCTAGATGTTTACTGTGGCGGAGGATGCTACGCCGCGCATCCCTGATAATTACTGTGTCCAACAGCTACAGAGATGCTGCCTTGCGTGGCCTTACCAGTGGACCCAAACAACGCTTGACGGTCAATATGCGATTGCCCTTCCATCTACGTCCTCTGTCGCCTGATCGTTAGTAGGATTTTATACCCGCTGTGTATGCATGGATGGATGGGATGAGTCGAGCATGTGACAAACGATTCTACTGAAGGCGGTTCAGCACTCAAAAGGTAAGAGCCAATTGTCTTTGACCATAGCCATTAGAGGATTCTTTGCCACCGCAAGAAAGTCAGTCGTTCGCATTTTTTCGTCGATAGGTTTTGGTCTATTGGCAACGAACCTCTGGCATATTTGTAAAGCATTAGGTACAGCATTAGTTCCAGTGCTAGTATCTTAAGTCCGTGGCAACCGTGAGCATTTGGTGATGTTGTTGCAAAGCCCCGTTACGGTGCGCGTTAACAGGATTTAAAAGCTCTAGCCACCTGTAAATGTCATACGTGCCTCTAGAAACAACGCTTCCTTTCGGTCTAATCTCAGCCGCGTATATTTATCATTAACGCCAAAGGCCAGGAATCACGAAAAGCCAGACCATGTCTGTGCAATTAGGTGTGACGGTAACGGAAAAGAAAGCTTCGTAAATACTGGAAAAAATCTTGAGATCAACACAGTATCCCCGACTGGATTAATCAAAAGGTCCCATAGCCTTGTGAAAAATCACAGTGATCCGCATTCTTACTTATATATACCAACGTGGGAAGTTGCCGTTTTTGGATAAGCATGATACGGAGAAAGGCAAAGGCCGGTTTTAATGTATGAGTGGTGCCGCCTGTTCGGAAGCATTCCTCCCACGTTCTGAAGGAAGTATTTCACGCTTGGTCTGTCTGATGCGATGGCCACACTTCGTCAAGCTGAATCTTCGCGCAGCAGCCTAAGTACACACAACATAAGGTAAACCAGAGGGCGCGTTATATACAACTGCTAAATTCAACGGTTTGCCTGGTGCAAATTGCGTACTGATCTGCGTGTGACCTTCGAAATGCTAGCATATCTTGTAACGGGGTGGTTCTACAGCTTGGCAACAACGTAGGGTTGTCAGTTTCGAACTGTTGGAAATACCAGTTGGGAATGCTTGTCAAAATGCGAGATGTTGGGTATATGATGAGTGCCGCGTCCCTTGGGTGGCCAATCATTGGCAAGAAAGTAAAAATGATTTAAAATCATGATAGTGATCTTTCAAAAATGCTTTACAAAACGTCTCTTGAGTCCACTATATGTCTACTGCGTTTCTTTGGATGATGGATAATTTACTGTTTTTACTGGTGCCTTGGGCTTTTAGCTTTCAGCAGAAGTGAAAGAAAATGGCATTTCCGTGGGTTTGATTGTTACATAAGGTAACGTTTAAGTACCCAGTAAAAAGCGTCGGTCTTTATTGAAGTATTCAGTCGTGAGGAGTAAGTTCAGCAAAGCATGATGACTGACGATGCATACGAAATACTGCTTGGTTCGCACGTCACAGCAAGAGTCGTAAAATCTTCACGTACGCATCCTTCTAATCTGATCGTGTCTCTTCCTTTTCTACAGAGATTATGTCTGCAGCAGACTTGGGCGTAAGATTAGAGAAGAAGAGATCCCTGGGGGACACCTATCCATCTAAACTTCTGCTGAAAAATGTACCTTCTCCCTAACTCTTTCCAAGTCTACGTTTAGATACCAAGCGGATATTGAAGACGTATATCAACTACATGGCGTAATCCTGAACATACGTCTCCGCTCCGCGAATCGAGTATACTGATAGCCACGATGTATCAAGATATGACAAGGATGAGGCTGTGGATGCTTCTGCTGCTCCTGTGTTTGCAGGCGTCTGTAGGCCTGGGCCAAACGGCAGATGGTAAAAGTACGGTACCCGCGCTCAGTACGACTCCATCAGCTACGTTAGCCGCTAGCTCTAAGACCTTTCCTCGCTCTTCAACACCCCCATCCATAACTACTGCCAATACTGCTCACACCAGCGCCGCAGGCGCTTCACCGCATTTTCTAGACCCAAGATCATTAGCACTGGAGGCGGTGGAGTTAGCTAGAACTTCTTCGGCGTGCAAAACGACTGATATGGCGATAAACACCGCCTCTGGTTCGGAGATGAACAAGATGGCGTCCGACCTCGGAACGGAACTGAAATCAATTTACGATGCAGCGGGCGTTATCTCCGCACTGCAAAGGTCTCTGCGAGGTGAGATGAAGGATGAGAGGAACGATGTGTACAACGCTCTGCTGAACACGTTATTACTCCAACATCCCAACATAATGAAGAGTTGTGTGGGGTTAATAAACAGCCAGTTCAATGACACCATATCCACATACACTTGCGTGTACAGAAAGTCCCAGTTTGACAACAGTACAGACAATAGAGGTGACACAGACGTGAATTCTTCATCAGAACTGAATGAATGGTTCTGGTCTGTGATGGAAACAAACGACAGCAGTGCAGGCGACCGGGAAAGGTTGGGAGTTGGACGTGACTATTGGTCCAACATCACCCTGATCTGTGGCCAACAACGGAAATGGAAAGTCACCTTTTCTACCCCCGTCTACGTCGAGGGTGAAGGCAGACTGAAAAGGTAAATCGGTCCTTTTCTGGTTTGCTTTGCTTTGCTGTTTTATTTTCTCCGCGAATGAGGTCAGTGACCTCTGACGGAGTATTGTGGTCAGTTATTTCCGTATGTTCGCAGCTGTAACTCATGATCCCTTTGCTGTATTGGTATGTAGTTTTCATGTCATCTGATAGTTTATTGTTTATGTTTGTTGTTTGTTTGTTTGTTTGTTTGTTCTTCGGAGGGGGAGAAATACGTTAGGGAGCCAGAAAATACGCCATGCCATCAACAGTCACACAAACTTGCCCTTATAAGGCGTGTATTGGTTAATGTGTTTTCTTGAGCCATGCCATGATGCTTCCCAACCATTCATATGACGAACGGTCCAGTAGTTATTAGAAACGTCTTTTCCATGCGGAGAGAAAAATGCACTTAAGTGGAAATCTGAAGTCACCGTCGTAACGTCGCCGAAATGTGGCATTTCAAAGGCGATCCAAATGTCACGAGACCGGCGTTAGGTTGTAAGGTCAGTCCCTGAGAGACCGCGAGGTCGGAGAAGGGGGCGACACATCGATTTCTGAGTTGTTGATCACCTCTTTGCTGCGTGCCGACTGGCGCTCGGTCTAATCTGTCATAAACAGTGGGGATTTCTTCCAGCGATCGAACGACATCTTTCATCACTTTGGCGTTCCCAGAAGGGATATTAATGGCAGCATAATCATATCTAGTGTATAGATATGTGCGTACGTAATCTATGCCCCAATTGCTGCAGTCACGTTGTCAATAATATCATTTGCTCCCCATTTACTAGTATTTGAAACCGTCTCCAAACATGGCGCTACGTCAACGTGGCTACGTCTTCAGCGGTAAAATTTCATATATGTCTCAGACATGATTCAAAAGGAGTTACAAGCGGTCTTTGTAGTTTTCCGTTGTTCCACACCATACAAATGTCTATTTGTCAAAGTTAAGGCATAGAGCACGACATTCAGAAGTTCTGTCATGTCAATGCCGTCAGTTAAGCCTAAGTAAGGAACATATGCCCACTAGATTCCAAAGTTTCCCCCCTTCCCTCAGAGTTTCCCTCGGCATATGTTGCGTCCTAAGCCGTAGTGATGGGCATGACCGCGCGCTTGTGAGAGCCACCTGCGTCGCGTTTATACCACAAGCTGGAATGTATATACTAGTACACCAGCCAATGGGATCAGGTATATCAACAATCGTCTTATCCTATCTACCTGACCTCTTCCACCCCTCACAGACTCTATTGCCCGTGCGCGATACACTTTGTATTCAGCCGGCGATGTCATCGCGAAGCCAGACCCATTCAACGGTTGTCATAAAATATCTCCACCCGGCTTTTGCAATAATGCGGACAAAGCATTTCACGCGGTGCCGTATATTATTTCATACATACGACGTATTTCTAAGGGAAACGGGTAACGAGCTGCCCTGGAATCATCTAAAGTTCTTCTATATCTGTTGACTGTTGAGGAAGATAGATAGATACAATGCCGCCCTCCCGACGACACCTCCCGATCTAGGCGTAACGAACGCGCCTGTGTATTTATAGTTAAACGCCGCCTGATGGGAATCTATGCTCAACTAACCTGTTGTTATGGGACGTAAAGTCTAATGGAGGCGCGTGCTGATACCAGGGCGGATCGATGGCGATTCGTGTTCACGGGGCCGACCCGGGGGAATGGAGGGGAAAGTTGGCAGGATTTCTTCACTAACCGTTTGAAACTCAACGGAAATTAAGTCGACCTGTTAGGTCTTCCATCTGGTCAGCAGACAGTTTTGTCAGCCAAGTTTAGTCATCCAAGTTGTTTTTTTTTATTTCCAATATTGTGAATGTTTTTCTTTTATTATGTTTACCGAAGGAAAGCATATTGTTTTTGCTACGTTTCCTCTTCTTCTCCAAACCAGAAAGGTCAATGACCTGAACCAGACTATCTGTAACCATGTTAACTGTTGGGTTACATCATGTTGCAATGTTATAGCAGGAGGGATTTAGAGCAATGAGGCACTGTTGTTGGAAAAAAGGCTTTGGCACTGGTAGTAGGAACAGCATTTGAGGCCTGGCAATGAGAGACAGGGACCTTGGAGCAGAGGTTTGGGACGGCTAGTGGGCACGTAAGCCTCAAAATTGGAGATTTGTTTGAACAAAGGTCTAAACCCAAGACGGTGCATGATGCGTCGGCAACGAATTTACATGTTCCTCAAGCAAACAATGTCTTTGCTTTTGCTGCAATTGCCTCCTTGGATCTAGTCTAGACGCTCAGTTAAGACAACATCGCACGCTACTCGAGCAATTAGCGCACAGAAATCCCAGATGCGACGGAACTACATGAAAGACTTTACTTCATCTGTCTCTGCCCAACGGCAAACGCACCAACGGTTCAGAACCCAAATTAAAACCCATTGAAGTGGGAAATTGCATCTTGCGACGATGGCAATCTCGGCGCGCCAATATTACAAACTTGGCAGCGATGAAGAATCCTTAAGTCGTTATTGCGCAGCTAGGGGGGAATTATGACAGGCAGTCCATTACGCTGGGTGCTGAAGGCAGTCCTAATCGCTGAAGAACAAATCTGATGTACTAGGCGCCATTAAACCCTTCCTGATATATACTCCCTTTGTCCATGTTGCAGATTTACGTACAAGCATTTCCTATTCTTTTTCAACTGAAGAATTCTATTTGGCCAGCTTCCAAGTCTTTTTCCAGTTAGAGTATGATGATAGGAATCATTAATTAGACAGAGTGTTCGCTCATCTACGATAATTGCTCTTCTAAGAGGCCCGTATAGGGAGACTTAGCATAAGCCCTGAGGCGGCAATGCGATGGCGCTAAGCTGCAAGTTGTTGGACATGAGGAAAATCTACAATGAACATGGCACTGCTGATGGATGTGGAACAGTTTTTATATCTGAAAACGGTTGCCTGTGATGAAATGACCTTTCCAGCGGTTGTTGCCTGGGGAAAAGGATACGGATACGTTTCTGCTGTGATTCATATTACCCTTTTACCGTCAAATGGGGTCCATACGTAAAGTTTGGATCTCTTTGTAACTTTGCTCATCAGTTACCAATGGTATATTCATATTGTGTTGCCGAATGCTGTAATTCATACTTGTAGTAACTCAGTGGGATGAGATACGTACATACTCATACACGACAACCCGTACCCATGTCAAACTCCCTGTCTCTTGCTGTACAAAGAAGTGGGTCTGCGCGTTGTATCGCAGTACATTTGCATGGTACCCGTGGGTTTTTCATTACAAGTATTTGATACAATTTGAGCCAACGCGGCGGTGTACAAACTGATTTCACTTCGACCCAAATAACGCATTAGTGTAAATCATATGCAAAATACTTTTTCATTACAACAGCATCACATGCTTTCATTCTCACAGTATCCTAACAGTATTAGTCCAGCATCCACTAGCTACTTTTTGTCAGTGATGACGACGAAATGTATTGGATGCTACTTGAAACGTCTGGCAGTTTTCAAAACCTTTCCAGTTGCTTGAGTCACAATTTCTTACATACATTTGATTTGCTGCTTGGTTGCTCTAATGGCAAGTTGCTTGTTTGGGTTGCCGGTGCGTTTATTGTAGTTAGGTTAGGTATGTCTTGACGTTACTGTTAAAGTAGGTACATTCCATGAAGCCCTGATTAGTACTTTCTACATTCATCATTCTTTCTACATCAGGACTAGAGCTAAATGAGTTATTGTTATAGTTATCTAATGAATGGTATTGTGTGTGAGACGAGCGACTTTCCGTAGCCGGCCTTCCCTTTGGAGGGTCATTTGAAAAATCAATAATAAGCTTAACTACCTTCTGTCGCCGTTAACTCTGACAGTGTGAAGTTTTATATCACGAGCAATGTGTTGAATAGCAAGCCAACAAATGGATAGCTTGATCCTTTAAAGGCACCCAATGCGATTTTAGAATTGCAAAATTGGAAATATTCTGAATACGGCAATGTTTATGATATGGACACATACTGCTTCACATTAGCATATTTCAAACAGTATTTCATACTTTGGGTATTTCAAACTGCAGAAACAAGCGCCAAGATGAGCCCTTCATTTTCTGGGTGGTCCCTAAAAAGTAGCCAAGGGTGCTTAACCATTTTCCGTCATAATTTTAGGTACTTTTGCTGCTTGTGAGTCATCATACATTGGTATCGTTTCACCTCAGTAGATAAGTGACTAGAATATCAACTTTGAAAAATCGGAGTTTCCAAGCCCTAAAAGCTGGAAAACCCCTCTGGTAGCCTCTCTTTAGAATTATGCTTCCTGTGTGTGTGTTGCGATTGTTAATGCAAAGTACAATCAGTATCATTTTCTCCTTGGGGTAATAAATCAGAACAAATATGATTAGATATACTCTTGGACACGGTGAAATATTGTTTCAGGCGGCAGATAAAGGAAGACTAATGAATTACATTGGATCAACAGGCGGCACACGCCGTCCATCGCTCAGGATATTGTAGATATTATTCATTATTTTGTCCTTGAAATTATATATTGGAATAAAGTTCTCCTGGATGTAAAACCAAATAACTGATGCAGTTTTAAGTAGGTTTTCTGTTATTATATTAATATCATGTCGATTAATGATTATGTGTACTGCATTTAAAGACTCACATTGCCGAACTAAACGGTAAAGAGTATTAGGTCAAATGAAGAGAGATAGCAGGTACTATCTAAAACGTCAGGGTAATGTCAATTTTATGTCGCCGTAGTGATTTATTTTTGCCTGATATCGATTCTTAGTGTATGCTATATATCATTGTCAATCTAGTGTTAATCTGCTAAAGGTAAAACTGATAGCGCGCTCAGCAGAATTTGGCAGATTTCTAAAACAACTATTTAAGATACAAAAGTAAAACGCAGAAAAAATTGCATTCAAGCAAGTTTTAATTCTGGTCACATACACATCTAGAAATAAGATTGTAGAGACCGTTTTACATGTTGAGTCGCGTCTCGAAGTCTGCCATAAGGACACGTTCGGCTGA